CCGCATTGTCGGGATGCGCTGTGCTACTGCTACGTTCATGTCCGTCTACGGGCCCGTGGGTGTCGACAGAGCCTGGTTCCAGCACGCCTTCGAACATGTCCAATCGTTGGGCCATCTAGGCCACCCAGTGTACGTCATTGGAAACCTTAACTGGCGCCCTCTCTATTCCGCCCTGACCGCGCGTCGGCACGTGGGCGGTGCGACGGGGCACGGAGACCTCCACCACGGCAGCAGGTACTTGTCCGACGAGAGCGCTGTTGTGGGGGGAAGGAGCTGCTCCAGAGCAGACAGCGACGCATGCCAGGTGTCCCTCGCCATGCTTTGGTGGGATACGTGCTAAACATCGCGCATGTCAACCCGACGCCAACCCGACTACGACGCACATCATCATACACAACTGAGCGCAGCCCCAATGATGGGGAACAAAGAGCTACTTCAAGAGCTACTGGACCAGGAGGTGGCCGTCCCGCTACCTGAACGACGATGCCGACCCCCCGCTGGTGGTGTGCTGGCAAAGCTGGCACGCGAGGGCGGAGAAGGCCCTGAGACTGGCAGTTGAACGCGGCTTGCTCTCAGTACAAAGCGAAGCGGAACGGGGCAAAGGCTCACAGCCTACCTCGCGACCGACCGCGCACTCGCCAGCGCGCAGACCTGACGAGACGATCGCCCTGGGACGACTTCGGCGACTGCACCGACGGCTGGCAGAACACCTACGCCAAGGAGCTCCAGGTTGCGCCAGGTTGGGGCCCAAGCGCTACACGCAGCTCGCTGCCGCAGCCTTCGATGGGCTGGTTCAGGTCACTGCAGTGGGCATCCCTACGTACTCCGACGCGCTGGGCTGGATCTCCCGGGGAATCACCATCGAGCAGAGCCAGATGCAGAAGGGGAACAGCGCACAGTGGCGACAGCGCGTCGCGAGCTGGAGCAACGACGTGTGGAACGCGGCCACCCCGCTCTTCAGGGGGGGCCAACCAGCACCAGCCCATGCCGCGGCAGACATGCGCGAACGATTGGCCAAGCACTGGAAGCCAGACAACTACGACAGCACGGGCCACGTCACCGCCTGGAGGCAGCATGCCTCAGCCGTGGCCTTCCCGAAGCCTACCTACCCACAGGACTGGATGCCGTCGCTGGACATCTTCGTGGCAGCAGTCCGCCAAGTTGAAGGGCGCCCAGGGCTCGACGGCTGGACAAGTCGCGAGGTCAAGGCATTGGAAAAGATCTACCCCATCGTCATTGAGGAGTTGTACGGGCTGTGGGTCACGACGTCTCAACAAGCCGTCGAACTACGAGGTAGGCTACCTCCAGAAGTGCTGCGCGCCGTTTTTTTTTTTCCTGGCGGGCAACAGGCATTCCAAAGAACGAAGAAGCGACCCGTCCCATCTCCGTGGGGTCCGTGCTGCTGCGAGCCTGGTTACGGGCCCTGACGACAGCATCCGCTTCCCCCCCAGGCCTGCAGTGGACCAACCGCAGACGCACGTCAGTGGTGCACGCAGTATCCAAGTGGCTGAAAGATTTCTCAGAAGGCCAGTGTGGCGCGGAGATGGATCTCTCGGCAGCCTTCGACCAGATGGACCACGACCTGGCCTTGGAAGCGGCTGACCACTCAGCCGTACCACGCGCTGTCATGTACACATGTTACGCCGCTTGGAAGGGCCCGGGGGTCTGTTGTATCCAGGGCGAACTAGCCCCACCATTGGGCCCGTGCAGAGGCCTACCCCAGGGCGACAGCACGGCTCCATGCACTCTCATATCGACACTAGTGCCATGGGTACCGGCGTCGCAGGGAAACGCCTTCGTGGGCGACAGAAGTTTGGTTGCGCAGAATGCCGACGACCTCGACATGGACCTGCATATGACTCAGCAGTTCGACACGTCCATCGGACATTGCGAGAACCAGAGCAACATGCAACGCTGGAGCATCGACGACCCTCTACCTGTCCAAGTGGAACATCTCGGTATTCTCGCTACTCCTACAGACCACGCCGTCCCCATCATCCCGAGGGGCGGCTGGCAGAAGCTGGAGACAGCTATTTCAGTGCTGGGGGCCATCCCTGGCAGCCATCAAGTGCGACTCAGTCTGGCCTGTGCATATGTGAGGCCTTTGTGGACGTGGGCGCTGCCGATTGTGACGCCGCCGCCAAGACGCTTCGCAAGACCACTGTGCCGTGCTCTGTGGAGAACGAGTTCGAGCTGGTGGTGCTTCGGCCGCTACTGGGCACAACGTCTTGCTACATCCAGAGCATTCCGCAGCTATCCGGGGATTTCGAAAATTGGTTGACGAGAGGTTGGTATGGAGTGATGCCTCGGGCACTACCTCCTCGGAGTACGCACGGGCATTGGGTTTATCCCTTTTATCCGATATTCGCCCACACAGGGCGCTATCCTACAAGTGGGCTCGCGTGACGACTTCAGGGTCAGACACGCAGTCGAGCATATCGTGGGCGACGACTGGAGGTTCAGCACCAACAGCAAGGCCGCCCAACATGCTCTCATAAGTATCGGCCGCATCCGTTGCCTACAGCTGGCGGTGCGCACGAGATTCGATGCAGAGGAGATCGACGACGTCGACGTTCAGGCATCCTCAAGCAAAGTGCATGGAAAGTGGTTCCAGTCCCTGGTGGAAGAAGACCGCGCACTCTTGGCGGTCTTCAGATCGGGTGCTGTGACCTCAGAGACTCGACGACGATCAGGATATCCGTGCAAGCATTGCGGGGCCCTGACCCCCAGTTTCCGCCACTCCTTCGCTGAATGCCCACGACGCGCACGAGAGCGAGGAGTTCTCGAAGACCGCTGTGCTCTCCCCCCGGCATTTTGGACATGTGTGCCGAGGGTCACGAGCAGGAGCGGCTGGATCGTTCTTTCCCAAGATGATTGTTTGGATGTACGTGCGAGGATGCTCACTGGCGTTGCGCCCTGGGCCTCAGCATCCTCAATAAGGGCAAGGAAGACACGCTGACCGATGCCACGCCCATCCCACGGATGACGCGTCCACCGGCATGGTCGGTGCAATGACATCACATGTATGAGATTATCCTTTAAGTGACAGGATCTGTCATTTCAACATTTCTCTTAGCCTTGTCTGATCATCTTGGGGATCTTTTTGGACATTGTTGGCCCGTTCAGGTCCCATCTTGCAGGCATTTTGGGCCGTCCGTGGGTGCTCTTTATGGAGGCCTTTGGGATCGTCTTAGGGGCATCTTACCCGGGCTCTTGGGCTCCCTTCCCTCCTCCGTCCAGGGCTGCTGTCTGCCTTCGTCCCTGATGCCGCTCCTCCCCCACGTGGTGGGGGGAGCAGGAGGAAGTGGAGGAGGGGCAGGAGGATGAGGATGAGGAGCCTGCCTGCCTCCTCCTCCTCCTCCTCCTCCTCCTCCTCCTCCTCTTCCTCCTCCCCCTCCTTCTCCCCCTCCTCCTGCTCCTCCTCCTCCTCCTCCTCCTCCTCCTCCTCATCCTCCTCCTCCCCCTCCTCCCCCTCCTCCTCCTCCCCCTCCTCGGTATTTCTTCGCTTCCCAAGACCACCGCGCCTGCCCCGCCGCGGCCGGCCGGTCCACCCAGGTCACCGGCCTCGACCGCCCCTGCCCCGTGTTCCAGCTCGGCGCGCCCGCGCCGCCCGCAGTGCCCTCGCCCCGCCCCGCCCCCGCGCGCGGGCCTCTGCCCCGGGGCCGAGCGGGCGTCGAGCCAGAAACGAGGGCCTGCTTTTTGGACCCCCCGGCGATAGCCCAGGCCCCCTCGAGTCATGGAGAAGTCACGGCGGAAGCGTTTGTTGCCTTTCGGCCTTTGGGGGCCCCCACCGGGTCTCGGGACCGTCCAAAAATGACTTAGGGTCAAAAGCCAGTCATGGGGAAGGAGTCGGGACCTCCCGGGGTCGGCGTCATGAATAAAATCATGACGTCGGGGGTTTGGGAACGGGGGAGGCGGGGGGGTGGGGAGAGGAGGGAGGGGGCCGGTCACGTCACGATTCGCGCCAGTGCCGTCTGGGAATTCTCTGGAGTGGCTGCTCCCCGCACGGCGCCAGCGCGAGTCGTGGGGGGGGTGGGGGTGGGGGCGGGGCCGGTCACGGGCGTTAGCGCGAGCAAGCCAGGACAACCATGCAAGCTGCGCGGCCCGATATGCTCGCAAGGCGCCGCTGAGAGATCCTTGTGCGGCCGCTCCGATTGGACTCCGACTCCGTGCCGATGCGGCCCGATCCCACACACCTTGCGATCCAGTCCGGTGTCCACAGGAGGAATACGTACCCATACCGATACCCTTCGCCCGCTTCCCTCTTTTTGGGGCCTCTTGGGGGGCCCGCGTCGCCACCGCTGGATCCGCCTCGAAACTCTGGTCAGAACGCACCCTGGGAGAGGCCCAGGAAGTGGCGGTATCTGTACCTTTTCCGAGACGGAAATTTATACATGACCACCGCCTGGAGGGTCAGTTTTCGGAGCCTCGACAGGCGGTGGATGTGGACATATTCGGCCCCCAGGGGCCGACATATATCCATATCCACCGCCCGCTGGGGCACCAGGACGTCGGTTCCCAGGCGGTGGATATGGACAAATTCCCGCCTCGCACCTTCTGGCTTCCCCAGCAGAAGCCGAAGAACCCGGACCCTCGATCTTCGCGCGTCTAGCCTCGCTTGCCGATCTTCGATCCTCGAGCTGGCGGGCCCACAGTGGATCCCTCAGTCTCGACCCTGGATCCTCGCTCTTCGCTCTTCGGACCTCGATCCTCGATCTACATCGGGCCTGTCCCTCTGCAGGAGGGATACTCAAACACAGTCAAGAAATAGTCTGGGGACGATTGTTTGACTATGTTTTGACTATGTTTGACCATGTTTGCGGTGCTCTTAGTTTTTCGTCCAAATCCGCCTGCAGGAGGACATGCCCGACCTAACCCTCGATCCTCGATCTTGAGGACCCGCAGTCGTTTTGGCTCCAGCCACATTCGGCCCCAGGGCCGCCCCTTGGTTTGACGGGGGGGGCTCGGCCAGCTCCGCTCCGTACGTGTCATCCCGAGCGATGTGGGGCCGCGTAGGGATGGAGCGGCTCCCAGGCCCTCCTCCTCCTCCTCGTCCTCCTCCTCCTCGTCCTCCTCCTCCTCCCACCTCTGGGGTCGATTGCCGTTGGCGGAGCAGAGTCGCAGAGCAGTGCTTCCCGTCCCGCCGTGGGCGGGCGGGGCCCGTGGATCCTGTGAAGCCCGACGGACCCAGGCCCGGATCGTCCCGGGTCAGTGGATCCACGACCCACGTGTGCCGGGGGTCCCCAAACGGGGTGGTGAGTCCTCCTCCTGCTCCTCCTGCTCCTCCTGCTCCTCCTCCTCCTCCTCTTCTCCTCCTCCTCCTCCTCCGCCTCCTCCTCCTCCTCCCCCTCCTCCTCCTCCTCCTCCTCCTCCGCCTCCTCCTCCTCCTCCTCCTCCTCCTCCTCCTCCTCCTCCTCCTCCTCCCACCCCCCGCCCCCTATCCCCCACGTATCGCCCCTCCCAGAAATCGGGAGCCCCCAAACGGGGTGGTGACCACACCGTGCGGTGAGTCGGTGGGGATCCGGGGTCACTGCACGGTTTCGGGACTCCGAGGTCGCTCTCCGAGGGCGTCTCGGGCGACGGGGGCCTCCGAGGTCCCGAAACCGTGCGGTGACGGACCATGCGGTGAGGTCTTGGGGGATTTCGAGGTCACCGCACGGTCCGTCACCGCACCGTTTATGGACTCCAGAGTGTGAGGCGTAAAACGGATTCGATAGCGCCGACATTCGCGCCTGAGCTGCCCGCGTGATGTCGCGCGTGAGCGCCCTCGTTTCAGATGTAGCGTTCCGCGCTGGCGCGCTGCGTGAGCCACCGCAAAGGGTCGCCATGCCATCTCGCCGAAAACCCGCCGTTCCTGTTCGTCGCTCATCGACGGCGCCGATACATCGCGACGTCGGCGCTGCATCGCCGCCGCATCGCCGCCGCATCGGCGATGCGGCGAGATCTTCTGACCCCTTCTACTCGGACCCCGTTTGGGAGGCCTCTAGTTGTGGGGGCATACCGCATGAGATTGTCCAGATCCTGAGGCCCGTGGTTTTACAAGGCGTGTAGTCAGTTCGCCGACTCCCTGCTGAGAGATCCAGCGAGGCCTTCTTTGAAGAGGATTGGACCCCATCGCCATGAGTACCTTTTATTGATCGAAGATGGGAATTTGCCGAAGGAGCTCAGCAAAGCGGAGATGTTCAGCCGATCATTTTGCTTCTTTGTGACCATTACGCGGGATTGCTCGAACCTCGAACCACCCCCTCCACCTCTCCCTTCCCCCTCCACCTCCCTCTCCATCCCGACGTCACCGTTGCTCGGAGGAGGAGGAGGGGGAGGAGGAGGAGGAGGAGGAGGAGGAGGAGGAGGAGGAGGAGGAGGAGGAGCGCGCGTTGCCGCGCGTGCGGGAGGCCAAGACGAGGAGCCCAGCACCGCGGTCGATGGGCCACCCGCGGGGCCATGGGGGGCTCTCAGAGCCCACAGGCCCGAGGGTGTCCGCGCCCATTTGCTTCGGAGTCGCCGCCCCGGGATCTCGGTGGGTGCCGGGCCTTCAGTCAGTGGAGGAAGCAGGTACGATTCTGCGATACCGCCACCCTTCGCTCATCTTTGCCTGTTCAGGCCTCCTGGGAAGCCATCGTCGCCACTGCTGGATTCGCCTCCAGCTCTGGTCGGAGCGCGCGCCTGTGGGGGAGTTCCAGGGAGTGCTGGCACCGACACCGCGGATCCCCAAAGGTCTCGACCCGTTCCTCGGGGCAGTCTTTTTTTGTTGACGGTCCCAGGGCTTGGCGAGGGCCCCCAGAGACCGAAATTGGTAAACCACCGTCCGCCGTTCTTTTTCCATGATGCGAGGGGGTCGGGCTTTGTTCTCCGGAGCCGCCGGATCGCAGAGGCCCCCGATCTGGACCAGAAAACAAACGACACCACCCCACTTACGGCCCCACGGGGCTTAGCGTACACCGGGAGAGCTGCCGTGGGCTTTTGCGTGGTATATGCTACGAAGCCCGATGAGCCGTTGCGCAACATAGAGGGCCGTAGGTGGGGCGGTGTCGTTTGTTTTTGGGTCGATTTGTCCTGGTCCGGTTCAGCCCCAGCCCTGTTGTCGTCTTAAAGCTATCGCGGCGTGGGCGCCAGCACCCCACCCCCGTATGGCCCCGTGTGGTGGTCGACCTACCACGGGCCCATCGCCGACGAGGAAGCGAAGAAGGGAAAGCGGGAGGTTGTTTTTTGAATCGTTTGGCGCGTAATGGTCGTTGCCCGGGCCAGGCCCCTCCCCACTCCCCAGACCCTCTCGAGTCATGAAATAATCACGACGGGCGTTTGTTGTTGCTACTTTCGGCCTCCAGAGGGCCCTACCGGGCCTCTTGCCGTCAAAATAGGACTCAGGATGAGAAGCCGGTCCCAGGGAATGGGTCGAGACCTTTGGGGGTCGACGTCATGAAAATTTCATGACGTCCGGGGCCCGGGCCCCCCAGTGGCGGTAACGAACGCACGTGGGGCGGGGGCTTGGCCCCCCCCACAGGCTGGCGCCCGCGAGCATACCTGGCCCGACGTGCCCAGCCCCTCCCAAGCGTTACCGTTACCCTGGGTCCAAACCTTTCCGCCCCCCTGGGCAGCGACCACTACCAGAAGTAATGAAAAACAAGCTCCGGCATAAACATGTACTTCTGGAGCTCCGCGCTGGTGATCGTTCTCTTATTCATCTTTGTGCCGATCGGCGCGGGCCCTCGCACCCCTTCTCCCCCTCCCCCCTTCCTGTGTTTTTTTATTCTTCCAGACCCGGCGCAGATCCTAGAATACGCGCGGAGTTCCGACAATTTCATCGGCAGCGAGCAAGGGGGGGGAAGCGAGAAGGAGGATGCCTGCTCAGGAGGCGGCGGGGCTTCCCTCAGACGCCCATCGCGCCTTCGGAGGGGCTCTCTTCTCTGCGCCTTCGGGGAAGGCCCAGCCAGCTTCTCAGACGGCCGGGGGACTTCCGAGCCTTCCGAGAAGGTCCGCCCCCCTCGCTCGTCCCCCCCTCGCTCGCTGTCGAGCTCGTGAACTCCTGCACTCCCCGCCCTCCCCCGGAGGAGGCCAGGGCCCCAGCGCCGCCCGGCGAGGACGGCCCGCCCCGCCCGCGGGGGCGGGCGGGCCTCGCGGCGGCCGCGGCGAGCCCGGGGGTCAGAGCGAGAGAGGGAGCCGTGCGCTGCCGGGCTTCAGTCGGGCCTGTCCCTCTACTGGAGGGGTATTCAAAAGTAGTCAACAAATAGTCTGGGGACGAACTTTGGACTAGTTTTGATCAGTTTTGGAGCATGTTTTAGGTATCTTTGATTCTTCGTCCAACATCCCCCTGGAGGGGGGACAGGCCCGACCTGATGCCAGGCCTGGATCCAGGGCGGCCTCGAGGGCGCGAAGGAGTTGTTTGTTTGTTCTCTCTCTCTCTCTCTCTTCTGTCGGGGGTGGGCAGAACCCCCAACAGTGACACGTCGATCCGTGAATGGTCCGTCTTCGGTTCTCGCGAGGGCGCCGCGGCCGTTATTTTCCAGGCCTGCGCCCGCCAAGTTTGGGCCCGAGGTCGTTTTCACGAAACCACGTTTTACTCTAAAGGGAGGTCTGTCCATCCCCGAATTTCGGGCGGTCGCGGCCGTGCTCGGCCACCTCCCTCCCTCCCCCGAGCGCGCGGGGCGCTGCTCTGCCCACGCCGGCCGGGCCGTCCTCGCAGGACCCTTCGACCCAGACCCCCTCGAGTCATGAAGAAATCACGACGGGAGGTTTTTCTGTATTTTCGGCCTCCGGGGGCCCCTACTGGGCCTCGGGACCGTCAAAAAACGACTCAGGAGGAAACGCCGGTCCTGGGGAATGGGTCCAAACCTCTGGGGGTCGACGTCATGAAAAAATCATGACGTCGGGGGTCTGGGGAGGGCTTCTTCCTGAGATTTCCAGCGGCCCCCCCCGCCGCGGTGTGATCGGGGGTCCCCCGATCACGCCCGCTGTCGCGAACTTGGCGGGCCCCGGAAACGGCAGGGCCGTTTTTGCACCGTTTTCGAAAAAGTGCCCCTTGAAAATGGAGGCGGCAAAAAAACGGCGACCGGAAGCGGCAAAAACACGGTTCCAGAAGTGGAACCGGGGCCGGAGCCGGTCACAAAACGGCGACGGCACCGGTACAAAAACACGGCGTCGGAGCCGGCAAGAAACGGCAAACCGGAACGGGTAACAAAAAACGGCCCTGTCGTTTCCAGGGCCCACTGAGGTCGCGAAGCATAAAAAAAACAGGATCTGGATCAAGGGCGCCCCCCGAGGGGCGCGGAAAGTCGCGCTGCGCGCCTCCGCGGGAATCTGGGCGCCAGTGCCGATCTCGCGGCAGTCTCTCTTTCACAGCGGGCGGGCCCTGTTTGGATCGGGGGAGCGTAAGACCCGGGTTTGCCAGGACTCGGGTTCGCCATCGTTTTTTGACGACCGCGCCTCGGATTTTGACGAGGAGGAGTCTCGTGGGATGTCTGCAGCGGGAGGCCTCGTCAAAATGCAGGCTCGGCCTCGTCATTTTTTTGACGACCTCGTCGGGGATCTCCGAGTCCCCTGTACCCGGGTCTTACGCCCCCCTGATTGGAGGCCCAGGGGCCCCCGCGGACGGATGCGGCTCGAGGAGCGCAGCAGAAACGTGGGCGCCAGGGTTCTGGTAGAGCTTTTTTTGTTCGTCGTTTTTTTTTGTTGTGGTGTCGAACAGACAGATCGCTGTTGCAGGTCTGTCGTGACCTCGGATCTCAGGGGAGGTGTGCTTGGGCTGAGGTGTCCCTGGGATGTCCACGGGAGACCCCGCTGCCTCCTCCGGGGCACTCCTCTCGCGAGTCCCAGTGGGCCCCAGGGGCGCCAGAGAGGAGCGCAACGCTGGGGACACACCTCTGGTCAGGGGACACCTTTGGCAATCCCCAGAAATATGATGTTCCAGCCTGCTTTAGCCTGGATCACCAGAAAGCGTTTCGAGCACCGAACACAAAACACCGAAACTCGAGGGTTTTCACGCGTCGGGCCCTGGGAGACACTCGTCCGACACTGTTTCGACACTCTTTCGACACTTGTTCCGGGTGCTCGAAATTATTTCTGGGATGTGGTCCTTGAGTGCGATGGGAGCAGCATGACCCCAGAAGAAGTGTTTGGTTGTCGCTCGATGACTGGCGTTTTTTTCGGGGGGGCGGCGTCTTTGGGAGCTCGCCTTGTCGGGTCGGACCAGGAGGGGGGACCGAGAAAGGAGGGTTACCAAGTCCTCTGCGTACAGCCAGTCTCGTCTCCTTCGTCCGGCGCTTCCCTCGAAACACTGGAGCCTCCAGCGCGGGGTGGGCGCTGAGAGCATCAGTCATGTGAGCTGATTCGCTAGTGGCCGCCCCTTGCGTCCGACCCGATCTCGCGGCCTCCAGGGGTCTCAGAGGCCCCTGGGATTTCCAGAGACCACAGATCCCCCATCACGACGCAACAGCGACTTCTGCAGGCCCGTTCCGTTTTGCAGGACCGTCAGAGAATAACCTGGGACGAACATTCGGTCGGTGGGGTTGGGGTCGACAGATCTGGGGGTCCCACGTCATGGAGAACGTCGTGGCGGTGGATGTCTAGGTCAGTGTTCGGTTCGGCCGAGTCCCTTCGGGTGGATGCCCCGAAGGTCCGAGCACTGACTGACCCGACCGAGTCGCCCTGAGACGGCAGGTCCACGGCCGATTGGTCAGGTCAGTGCTCGGGCGGCCCGGGTGACACTCGAGCAGTGTTCACCTGACCCGGCGCTGACCTGGATGCTTTTCAGTTGACTGGGTCCTCAGGCGATCTTCGGATTCGCCACCGTTGCGCTGGCCTACCGGGCGACCCCTTGGCACCGCGCGGCAGCCCTCGTGGAAGCCGCAGAAGGGCGAACGAATGGCACAAGCACAGACTGTCGGAGGTCCGCGCGGACTGCCCGGATCTTCGCCGGGCCCCCCCTCAGGCGGCGTCTCCCTCGCCGCCCCCCTGGCACGCTCCGCGTGCAAAAGAGGGAGGCCCTCGGCATCGCTCGGACGTGCTCCTCTTTCTCGGCCCCACGAGACCGACAACTGCACGGGGAAGGACCTCCGAGCGATGGCAAGGGTCCTGCGCAGGTCCGAGGAATCCGCGTGTCTCCCCGAACGTTTATGCCTGTGCTCGTCATCATCCCAACATACTGATACTGTGTGTGCGTCGCCCCCCCAGGGGCGACGCGCGCACCGAGAAATCTTTTAGTATATGCGTCGTGGGGGGCTTTCTGGCCACCAGCTCGGGAAACGATGTACTACAAGATGGGTCTACTACATGTTCGGGTCGGACGCGCGATCCTCCGAGGATGACATATCGTGCTAGTATGTCTCTGTGCGTCCCATCTGCAGCTCTTCGGAGGGCACCAACTATACACCAACACCGATCCTGGCCCAGGATCACCCTGGGCCCAGGATCGGTGTATATGCCTTCTTGCGCAAGGCAGGAGGGCGTATACACCGATCCTGGGCCCAGGGTGATCCTGGCCAGGATCGGTGTTGGTGTATAGCTGGTGCCCTCCTATGCTCTCTCTTCTTCCAGGAAGATCATCCTCAGCGGCAGGGCCAGAGGGGGACGAGGCTGTTCCACTCGAAGCAGGACCTGGCGACCTACACGGGGCAGAGCGCCGAGACGGGCAGCCACGATATCTACGTGGAGAATTCCGGCGTCTTCAGGGTTGCGGGGGCCCAGGCACACAAACACACACGAACACACACACAAACACACACACAAGCACACACAAACACACACACAAGCACACACACAAACACACACACAAGCACACACACAAACACACAACACACACAACAACACACACAAACACACAAACACACACACAAACACATACAAACACACACACAAACGCACAACCACACAACCACACAAACACACAAACACGTCAACACACAACTACATAAACACAGACACACACAAACACACAACCACACAACACACACAACCACACAACCACACACTCACACAGACACACAACCACACAACCACACAACGACACAAACACAAACGCACACAATCACACGCACAAACGCACAAACGCACAATCGCACGCACAAGCACACAAAACGCAAACACCACACAATTATACAAAACAGAAACACAGAAACACACATGCACACAAGCACACACACACACACGCACACGCACAAACGCACACACGCACAAACACACAAACACACAAGCTCACACACACTCAACCACACAAACACACAAACATACAAACACACAAACTCACAAACACACACACTCACACAAACGTACAAACACACAAACACACAAACACACAGACACACGCAAACACACAACCACACACACAAACACGAACACACACACACACACGCACCAACACACAACCACACAAACACAGACGCACACAAACACACACACAACCACACACAACCACACACACAACCACACACACACAAGCACACACACAAACACACACAACCACAAACACACAACCCCCCCCACCACACACACACACGCACACGCACACGCACACACACACACACACACGCACGCACGCACGCACGCACGCACACACACACACA